CAGGGTCTTGAGCACGCCTATGCTCAAGAAGGGCTGTCAGGACAGGCTAGCTATGGGAAAGAGTAGCTCCACACAGGGGAGCCAGGCGACCTGGGGCAGACCTCAGGCTCCTGGTGGAGGCAGGGAATAAGAGGGTGGGGGTGAGTGGGCAAAGGCGCAAAAGTGCTCCCCTGGCTTAGGCAGCTCCTGGGTCTCACAGACTCTTCTCCAGTCTGAGGTCAGGGGTAGGAACTGAGCTGTGGGGCCCCTGAGGGAAAGCTCTCCTCTCTGGCCTAGCCAGCTAAGAGGGGTTGGACCCTGGGAATATGCTAATCAGTCAGCAGGCTGGTCCCAGTTGGGGACAGCACATCTGGAGCCTGGGGCAGCTTGGTTGGAAATAGACTAGGATAAACATTCAGGAGTCCCCTGGGAGCAGGAAGCCAAAGCAGGCAGCGGGGGCTGGGGGGAGTCCTGGATGAGTTGTAACCCTGCCAGACAGGGCTGGGGGTGGGGCAGCAAGGAGAGGGTGAACAGTGGGGCAACCTGGACTGAGAATCCACAGGTAATGGAAACCTTGGGTCTGGAAAGAAAAGGAGATCTCCTGAGCCTGAAGAGGAGAAAGGGACTAAGCTGGTGGGACCTCTCACTAAATCTGCAGTGACAAAGGACAGACCCCTGAGAGTCACAGGCTGACACCCAAATCCTTCTCTATCCCATCTAGGATCATTTCCAAGCATGACCAGCTTTGGGTGGGAGTCGGGGTGCGTTCCCTGAATTTGGAACCCTCGCTCAACCACTAGCGAGATGTGACTGGCCATGTCACTCACCCTTTCTTGTCTTGCTTTCCTTCTCTCTAAAAGACAGGACTAGATTCCTGCCGGTCTCAAACCCTTCAGATCTTCTGTATTCATTCCTTCACCTCCCCTCCTTCTTGCAAAGCTCACAACCTCCCTGCTTAGAGCCAGCTGGGCTCTTCAGTTTCCTAGGCTGCTCCCTGCACATTCCCGACCTCTCCACCCCTTCTACCACTCCAGAGCCTGCCCACCTTGCTAGAAGAACACAGTCTAAAGACGGCAGTTACTGTGCAGGCCATTTTATAAAATGATTGATAGTACCCTAGAAATAAGAGGGTTTATGATAATATTCCACAAAATAGGGAAAAAATTACACACTGTGATTAAAACTATATAAAAATGTATATATCCAAGGAAGGGAAAAGTTACAAATAAAATGGGTGTTCCAGAGGAGCAGGAGTGGGATGGTTTGTGACTACATTTCGAGTTGCTTTACTATGATTGCGATTTTCTTTATGATATAAACACTGCCTTTGGAATCAAAAGATCCGGTTTTCTGAAATCCCTTTTGTCCCACCTCTGCCTCAAAGCCTCCCTACCTCCAGCCCACGATGACCTTTCCCTCTTTGAATTCCTGGGGCCTGAGTTCCCATCTATGACTTAATGGGAGCAGTGGGAGGCTGGGAGCACCTTGTGAGGGACTCTGGAGCTGGAGGCTCCCCAGGTTCAAGTCCTGGCCCTCCTACCCCAGCCACGCAAGTGACCTTGGGACAGGTTGCTTCAACCTTCCATGCTGCCTCGCATTTCTCATCTTCATCATCATGCTGACATTCCCGACCCACAGGTACTATGAAGATGCCCTGAGATCAGAGAGCGAGCACTGAGCACAGGGCGGGGCTCTTTGTAAGTGCAGATGGGATCATTGCTGTTGGCATCGCTAGATCTCCAGTTGATGTATACAGAGTGGATTCCTCAAGGCCAGGACCTGCACCCTGAGGCCCACTGCAGGTGCACGATAAATCCTCCTCCCCTTGCTCTTTCCTATGCATTCTAACTTCAGGTGCACAAGGCAGAAATGTTCCCAGTCCAGACGGGACAATAATCCAGGCAAAGGCAGACTGAGCTCTCCTTATGCCATAAAAAAGGATCCTGGGGCAGAACACTCTGGCTGTTCTGCCACTAGCCATGTCAGGGCCCTTTAAGTAGGCTGGGAAATTTCCTTCCTCCTCCTTTTCTCTTTCTATATATTTATTTATTTTTGAGGCAGGGTCTCCTATATTGCCTAGGCTAGTCTCAAACTGGTGGGCTCAGGAGATCCTCCTGCCTCACGATCCCCAGTAGATGGGATTACAGGTGTGTGCCAGTGCACCCAGCGTTAGGTTTCTTGATGAAGACCTGAAGCAAGAAGACATGGCACAGAGAAGAGAACATGGCCTTCCCTGTATACATAAGCAGAGATGCCTTGGCTAAGATTCTTAACTTCGGTGCCTTAGTGTCTTTATCTGTGAAATGGGGAGGACAGAAAGGTCGGTTTCCTTGCGGAGTTATTGCAAAGACCACATGAGACAACATTTGGAAACAGGCTTTCAAGAGCACAAATGCCAAACACACATGTTGGTGATTAGAACTGCCATTTATCTGTCACTAAACACTGCTCACCCCTGCCTCCCACTCTGGATTCTATGACCCATTGCCACATCAAGCAAAGCCAGAGAGGGCCACTTATCATAGGAGCAAATGCCTGGAGCTCAGACAGTGGAATTTCTCTGGCTGGGCTGAGTGGGAAGGGGCCTAGAAAGAAGGGAAGCCATAGAAGTGGGCCTCTTCTCCCCGCCTTTCCTGCAGTATCCCCGGCTGTACCACGAGGCTGCCTCCAGCTCCATCCTCAATACCTGCCGAAGGGGAGCAGGCCTGTGCTCCAGGGACGGTGCCAGTTCCTTTCTTGGACACCAGGCAGGAATAGAGGTGGGATGAGCTGTGGGAACAGGTTGTTCTGTGGCTCTGTGGGGCTTGGCCATGTGGGAACAGCTCAGTGCAGACTATCCATCCAGCCCAACATCCTTGTTGGCTCTGAGGGCATTCACAGGGCTGGACTTTATGGGCTATGGCACACCTCAGGGAGGTACCTCCTTCCCTGAATCATAGGGGGTGAGATGGCTCTGTGGCTGGGGCCAAAGGGCTGTGTTGGGAGTTAGGGGGAGCGAAGCACAAAGGGATTTCAAAGTCCGCTGGCTCTGAACTGTCTGCTCATGGGCTCAGGTCAGCTGGCAGCAGGAAGGTTTATGTTTCTTTTAATATCAACTCCCAGGCATTTAACATTCCTCGAAGCTTAAACACAGAAACATTTTCCTTAGCAGACTGTGCTTTCTGCTCTGCCAAACATAACCTGGCTGCTTCCCCCTCCCCCACTGCCTCCATCTGCTCCCGTCTCCAAGATGCAATGATTTATGGTGTGCTTCTCCTGGGCCTGTGAGCTGAGCGGGAGGGAGGGACGGTGGCAGGCTGAAGTCCAGATGGGAGATTACCACCTCCGTGCTCTGGACTCTGAGCTCTAGAGAGGTCGTGGGTCACGGTACCCACTGAGCTGACAGCCCTGGACACCCTTTCTACTCTTCCATTCCACAGCACTGATGGAGGCTGCTCATGTCTCTTGGATGGGTATCCCCTGGAGGCTGGACAGCCCAGCCTAGAACTCCTTTCCCGCCTGTCCCTCTGGCCCAGCCCAGGGATGTGGAGATGGGGCTCCCACTGCTTATCCCTGCAGAGTAGTTTCTGGGGACTAGATTTAGAGAGCTTTCTCGCTTTATCCCTAATTCCCGAATAATGAAAGACTAGCTTCTGGTTGCCTAGCAGCGCTGTCTCCCTGGCGACGGTGCTGAGGAGCAGGGTGTAGGTCCCATAACATCAGGAAGGGACGTGCTCAGGAACATGGGTGGCATAAGGCAGATGGCTAGGCCTCTACTAAATAGTGCCATCCCCCTGAGACAGGAGTGGGGGAGTGGGAGACCCACACAGGTCCTAGTGCCACCAAGAATACCCAGTTGAGGATCAGATACCAAATTTCAGCTTCGACATGCATCAGAGAACAAACACTTTCTGCAAAAAAGCCTCACCCTATCACAACCTATACCCCGTCACATGGGGGCAATTGTTAAGAGACCAGGAGTATCCAATGCTCAGGCCTCCCTATGTACCAGTTATCATTTCCCTTGATTTCATAGTCACAGAATCGATTCCCACTTGTATCCTAATCATGAGGTCACACAAGGTGCCAGACAGGAGTGTGGAAAGCTCCACACTGAGTGTTATCTGTCCCCAAGCCTAGTTCTCCTGACAGATAAGTAGATAGCAGCCATCTTCAAAGCTGAAAAAATGTTCTAGACATGCAAGGTGCAAGCAAGGACTTTTTCCTTATATACATTTTCACGGCATCAAGAAACAGAGCAGAGCCAGGTGTGGTGGTGCATACCTATAATCCCAGCAACTCAGGAGGCTAAGACACGAAGACTGCCAGTTGGAGACCAGCCTTAGCCACTTAGTGAGGCCCTAAGCAACTCAGCGAGACTCTGTCTCAAAATAAAAAGGGCTGGGGATCTGGCTCTGTGATTAAGTGCCCCTGGGTTCAATCTCCAGGACCAAAAAAGAGAAACAGTCTGATTGAGGATTTGCCTCTACTGAAACTCAAAGTATCTTTCCTAAGTTGGTGACTCCCAAAACTCAGTTGAAGACAGTCCAGCAACTCTAGCAACAAGTCAGAGACCAGCCCCAGGAACCAGTAGGATCCAAGCCCTTCTGGTAGAATAACAAGTGCTTGGGAAATGTGCCTCATTCCTATCCAGCATCTATGGCAGAATTGCTCATCACACAGAGCACTCTCCCGCCCCCCCATGCTCATGACGTAACCTCAGAATCCTTCTCAATATCGTGTTTTGGAAAAAGCCACCAACAGACTGAAACTGGAGTGTGAAAACTGTCATTCCTCAGTTCCATCTGCAGAAGTATGAATGAGTCTGCTGTAGCCCCACAGGTACCTGGATGCTCAGTAAGAAGCCGTCTCTAGGAAGCATGAACCACCACCTTGGGGAATTTTTTCAAACCAGCTTTGAACTAAAGTCACAAAAGGCCAAGCACCTTAATCAAGAAGACAAGACCAGAAGACGCCTTCTCAATAGGCTCCACAATGCCTGGCAGCTCCCCAGGCCTTGCCCTGGGGCCCTGGACTCTCACCTGGATCTGCCCTTTGCCCATGATCTTGTCCACGATTTCATTGTTGTCCTTGTTGACCTTGGTCTTGTCATAGCACTTCTCATAGCACAAAATCCTCAGGGATTGAGAACCCTCCAGCTCGATTTCAAACTCCTGGGGAAAGACGGGACAGAGGGTCATCAACCTCAGAAGCGGGGGGCACAGGGCTTCTTGGCAGGTGTGGGCCTCAGCTTTGCAAGGCTGAGGGTGAGCGGGGCCCAGGAGGAACATATCACAAGACATGGAGGAGCGTCTCATTTTCTGGAGCTCCCAGAGGCCTCCATATCACCGATGAAGTGGAGTTTGTGGGCCAGAGCTGAAACCCTAATGTCTGACACCTAATCGGAAGCCAGATGAACAGGGGATGGGAGGGACTGGGTTAGGGAGACAGAGCTGGTCCAACCAACAGGCAATGGCCACCCCTCCCCGCCAACAGATAGGTCATGAACACAGTGATTAGGAGGGCATGCTCGGTGACACAGAGGAATCCCTATAGGGACACCAGCCTCCTCCACTCACCTCATCCCATTTGGGCTCTGTCGTGTCCCGGAACACCCTGGTTTTGGCTTTACTGACAAAATAGCCAAAGGAATCCACCTCCAGGGTACAGTACAGGTCTGCAAGGAGAAGGGCAGACAAGACACACCAAGTGAGGCCCAAGAGGCCCGGGAACAGGGCTGGGGCAAGGGTAGTGGTGGTGAAGCCCTTGAGGGGACAATGCACCTGTCCCTTCCAGAGGCCCCTTCAGGAAATGCTCTAAAACAGAGAGCTTGGGCTTAGGTGTCAGAAGGCTTAGAAATATTGCTGCACCACCTAATAATACCGGTGCCACCCTGGAAAGTCCCTTGAGCCCTTTGAGCCTCAGCTTCCCTGTGTGTGAAGTGGGGATGAGTCAGTGACCACAGAGGGATGCCAGAGAATCAGGACAGATAATGGGCCATAAAAGGCTTTGAACACACCACGGCCCTGTCCACACACTGACCATGTTCTCCTTTCCTCCAGGTACACAGTAGGTGCTCTGTAAATTAAGAGTGTCACTCAGCCTTTCTGAGCTCCTAGTTTCCAAGGATCAAGGAGACCTGGTTCCTGCCTTCAAAGATATCAGTGGGAGAGGCGAATTAGAAGTGACAAAACAGCATGACAGGTGCTGTAAACACAGTTTGCCCTGAACCGATGGGGACACCGAGGGGGAGGCCAGTTCTCCCCGGGAACTCAGGGAGGCTTCCCAGCAATGCCTGAGTGGCTGTTTGTGGGCCGATGACAGAAGCTCTGAAAGGGGTCTGCAGGGAGAGGGACAAGGGCAGATGTCACCTGCCAGAGGAAAGGGGCAGGCTGAGGAGAGGAGCCAGGAGCCCTGGGTTTCCGATTCTGTGTAATATTAAGTCCTTTTAGACCTGTGACTCAGTTTCCTCACCTGGTAAATGGGTAAGAACTATAAGCTGTCTGACTCACAGATTCCTGGGTAAAAAGTAGATAAATTGGACAAGTATAGTTTATGAAATATTAAACAGGGTTAGTATTACTAAATATACAGTTCTGTTCATCTCCAGACTTAGGGGATGATAATAGAAAAGGGATGGGTGCTGGCACATGCATACATGGTCATCTTTGAGTCCACTCTCACAGGTCAGTGTTAACAAGTGTGACTCCCGTTTATGGAGAAGGAAGCTGAAGGTCAGAGAGGTTAAGAAACTTGCCCAAGGCCACATGGCTTGTAACTGGCAGAGATGGGGTTGAAGTCCAGGTGTTTGCAGCTCCAGGGTTCAGATACCTGGAATGAGGACTTGGGGAGAAGAGATCTCCCTGCCAAGAGGAGCTGGTTCCTGGGGTTTGGGGGAATGCCCCACATCTCCAGGCATACTAGCTGGACCCCAGCCTGCACAGAGCAGAGCAGAGCAGAGCAGAGCAGAGCAGATGGGCAGTCCCACACCATGGGTCTTTTTGTAAAAGATGAACAGTGGCCACCCAACTTCTTCCTAGGGCAGGTAGTCAGGAGCACTTACTAGCTGATTGTTTAAACCCCTTGGCAGAGTGAACGATGACATGGAGGAAGCCATAGAGTCCTGGAGACTCATCATCTGCAAGAGAGAAAAGCCCCCAGGGTAGGGGGTGTTGAGAAGCTCACCCCCAACTCTGTCCCAGGCTGGTGGAAAAGCTGCTGACCCAGGGAGATGCAGCCAGGTGGTCTGACAGCACCACCTGGTGGTTGGCTAAAGAGTTTGCAAAGCCCACTGCTTCCTCCAACCGGAGCTGCACCAGGTCTCAGTGCCAGGCTGTTTCCCACTGGGCTCAGCCCAAACCCACACTCATGGGCCAGATATTTAATACTATTCTCCAGGGCTACTTTCCCTTCCTCTGAATCCTGCTTACTCCATGGCTGTCTTCCTAGTTTAACCTTTCAAAGGGAAAACTAATTTGATTAGTCGCTCTGCTAATGGAAGAGGGAAGGCTCAGTTCTGACCCCTGCTTGGGACACAGGGGTCCCTAGTTGATCCAAATAGACCAAGGGAAGCTGGCCCTCAAAACCACTTTCAGAGAGTGAACGCTTTCCCAGAACCATGGGCAGCCAGAACCCACCTGCTTTGGGCCAGTTTCCAACCTTGAGAGCACTTGTCTCTGCTCAAAAACCTCCCCCAGCCCCCCCCCCCCCCCCCCGCCCATTTGCATGACATCTGAACTCCCTTGATTAGCATTTAAGGCCTTCCAAGATCCAGACCCTGGAAACTTCTGGGCTTATTTCTCATATACTATCCTCTCCATCCATCATCGTCCCCCTACCCCTCGGGCTTCAGCCTTTGGCTTCCACTATGGGACGGTCTCAGAAACCAACACCATCCCAGTGCCCCAGGGTTCCAGATTCTTCTCTCACAACTGAGAGGGCTGAGGAGGGCCTGGGGGTTCAATAGAGAGTAACCCCCATTTAAGATCTCTATGTACCTAGCAATAGAATCGCCCCAGCAGAGTTAACCGGAGATCAGACATCGGTAGCCATGGTCCTTACAGAAGGACACAGCAATGCCCTGGGGACTTGCACCTGCTATTTGGGCCACCTCAGGTTCCAGATCTTACCATCTTTATTGCTGGTGACAGGAATGTTGTGTACAGTCCTAAGCTTGAAACAGGATCCCGTGAGTACCTGGAGCTCCACTGAGCTCAGGACGAAGGCCTGGAGATCTGCAAGAGGAAGCAAGGGAGGAAGGAGCATTAGCACAGGTTCACTAGGACCTGCTGCTCTTCCTTGGGGGCTGCCATGGGAAAACAAACAGCTTAGTTCTAGGGGTGGAGTTGGTCCTTGGGAGGTAAAGACTTGGAGACATTCACATGGGTCCAGTTGTGAGTGCTGTCAGAGGCCCTAGGAGAGTCTAAGGGAAGAGGCTCAGGTATGTGTGTATAAGAGTAAGGGCAAGAGCAAGTGAGAATGGCAGAACCCTGAGCTCTGGGTCCAGGTCTATCACCAACTCATGGTATGCCTTAAGTGAATCGCTTGAATTCTTTGGGCTTCCATTGATCAGAAACATGAATTAAGTGCCAACTCTCCTGGCATCTTACAGGATGGCTGTGAGGACTGAAGAAGAGCTAATTGACATGAAAATGTTTGGAAATGCGAACGTAGAGCAGGACAGGACTTTACCCTTCTTCTGTAGTTTCTGGATTGCTTCTCTCCACTCTGACCTCTCGTAGTCCGAGGATAGTAAGAACAGGTAGCTCTGAAGAGAGATGAGAATTCAGTGGGATGACCATAGTCAAGCCAAGCATATTCCCAGATTCTGGGGCTCCCAGTCAAGCTCTTTACCCACACACCCCTGAGCTTAGAGGAGGCAGCTGGGCGCGGGGGTGGGGGTGGGGGGGGTGGGGGTGGGGTGTTCCTTTCTGGGAAGCCAGATGACCGGGATGACAGTGCTACTGGTGGCCAGCAGAGGGCACTGGTTCCACACCAGTAGGAGAGAGAGTTCAGGGCTGCAACCACAGCAGCCTCATTGGAAAGTGGGGGGCCCAGGAGCCATGGAGAGAGAGTGGGCTGCCCTGGATCAAGAAAAGGGGCTATCTCTGTCCCAACTCCACCCTTCCTGACCTTTCCATTCCGATTGTGGATCCGAAACGGGATTGTGGGGGAGTTGAGCAGCAGTAAGAACTCATTCTCAAACATCTTCTTTTTGAGGCGCTCGATGGCCCGGCTCTGCCCTTTGTTGGCTTTCTGTAGGGGATGAGGCACAGATGGTTTCCCTCACGCTCAGTCCCCACTGCACACTCAGCAGCTCTAAGCACAACATTCCCCCCCCCCCCCCCGTGTGTTAATCATGATTTTTAAAAACTTTTCTATATTTTATGGTGCTTTGGCAGCTAGGGGCCTAGCTAGGTGAGGAGAAGCCACTCCTCGCAGGGCTGGCTAACTCCTAAGGTCGTAGATGACTCCCCCAAATCAACAACCAGAATCCAAATCCCCAACCACCCCTCAAAGGCCTCTCACCCATCAAGGCAGTACTTCCTCTGCCCTAAATCATCAGGGTCAGGGACTAGAGACCACCCCAAGGCCTGAGCCCCCCAACATTATTTGAAATCGGCAATGCTAAGCTGTTCTCCCGCCCTGCTCTCCTTCTTCCACAGAAACCTAAGTAATGCAGTGGCACCGTGGCCCATGATTTCCATTTCTGCCTCCTGATGACCCTGAGGCCTCCACCTGTGTAGTGTGGTGGACCCCTTCTCTAGGGAACTATAAGTAATAAAAATATCTCAGTGGCATTAGACTCTCTGTATTGTTTTTTAAATTTTTTTTTCTTTTAATATTCTTTTAGTTGTCAGTGGACCTTTATTTTATTTATTTATCTGCAGTGCTGAGAATCAAACCCAGGGCCTCACATGTGCCAGGCAAGTGCTCCATTACTGAGCCACAACCCCAGCCCTGCATTGTTTTTTGATCACCTCTATAAATTAAATCCTGGGTACAATAGAGACACCCTGCTTTCAAAACCTCAGCCATGTCATATGAGGTGGCACATGCCTGTAATCCCAGTGGCTTGGGAGGCTGAGGCAGGAGGATAGCAAGTTCGAGGCCAGACACAGCAACTTAGTGAGATCCTGTCTCAAAATAAAAATAAAAAGGGCTGGGGGTGGACCTCAGTTTTTGAGCACCCTTGGGTACAAGTCCCAGCCCTGAGGGGAAAACATAATAAAATGCATAAGTATACTTGTATCTTTACATATATACCTTTAAAAATATATTTGTACACACACACAGTGCATGTGTAAGTGTACATTTTGCAGAGCTGCCCTCTCCACTGGATGAGGAGCTCCATCAGGTGTCTGGGATGCTCCTTGTAGCTATTGGGGCTCAGTAGGCATGGGCTTGACTGAGTAGAAGCCTCTGTCTGCATACTTTAGGCAGGAGGAAGGCATAAGACCTACCACCCCCCGCAGCCTGGGAAGAAACATGCATGCAGGCTGCCCCTGGAGTGGAGATGATGGGCAGCATCAGATGGGGAAGGAGGTGTCACTGCAGCAGGCCGGGGCCCAGCCCTGATGGAGGAGGACACCTGTGCTGGCCAGGGCACTTCCTTTGGGCAGATGTACCCCATTGCCTTCAATCCTAGCACACTCCCCTGTCCCAAATACCCCTATAACTGTGGTCTTCTTTTCCCTTTTCAAAGAGAGAGATCTGAGTTGAAAGGATCCTTAGAGGTCATTTGGTTACTTATTCATCAACAGTTAATACATGAAGCACCTACTGACTACATGCTAAGTACTAGGGGCACAGAACTAGAGAAAACAACCCGCTTACTGGTGTTCAAATTTTAGGGAGGAAGAAATAAAGCTGACCAAGCTGTTATAGTCAACACCAGTCAAGCAAAACCAAAGGTGAACAGCCAGGACTGGGAGCAGGGCACCTAACCCGGATTATGGTGAAGGTGGACACCGGAGAAGGTTTTCCAGAAGAGGCGAGGTCTAAGCCAAACCTGGATGAAGGAGGAAGAGACCAGGCCAACCAAAGCACTCCATGCCCTACCTTCTGGTCACTGGGAAGCCTCCATCAATGTCCTTTCCTCTAGCCACTGTTTTCAAGTGTAAGAATTTAAAGCTATGCATTTTCCTCTAAACAGTGCTTTGGTTGTATACTCTGGGTTTTAACATGTGCAACTCTCATTTTTGTGTCGTTCTAAATAGTGCACAGTTTCTTTTTTTGATTCTGTAAATTGAAAGTTTTAACTTTCCACTCATTCAACTAATATTCTAGCCTTTGACTTCAAATTTTACAGCAGTGTGGTCTATGAGTGTTACCTGTATGCTAATTTTTTTAATATCTATTTTTTAGTTTTAGGTGGACACAATATCTTTATTTTATTTTTTATGTGGTGCTGAGAATTGAACCCAGTGCCTCACGCATGCTAGGCGAGTGCGCTACCACTTGAGCCACATCCCCAGCCCCGCTATTGTTTTTAAATTGAAATTTCTCCTGTGGTTTAATTGTGTGTGTGGCATGCTGTGGATTAATTCTGGGGTACTTTACCACTGAGCCACATTCTCAGGCCCTTTTTATTTAAGGTAGGGTCTCTAAGTTGCTAAGGGCCTTGCTAAATTGCTGAGGCTGGCCTCAAAATTGTTATCCTCTTGCCTCAGCCTCCTGAGTTGCTGGGATTATGGTTGTGCCACAACCACATCCAGCTCTTGTGACTTAATATAGGATAAATATTTATGAATGTGCCATGTGTGACAAGAATCTCAGCACTCTGTCAAGGCACAAGCTTCTATGCATTTTTAGACCAAGCATGTTAATTGTGGTATTGAGGTCACTTCTCTCCCTGTTTATTTGCCTACTTGATCTATCAGTCCTCAAGAGATCTCCCAGGCCTTTTCTCTTGCATAAGTCCTGCTTTTCCTTAAGAAGCCCTCCTTTTTCTTCCCTTCTCTACTGTGTCTACTGTGTTCAACAAAAACTGTTCTCCCATAATTCAACTCATTAAATTCTGAGCACTCACTCCTTGGCCTTCCCACCATCTGCTCAGAGCTGATCTGCCTTAGTCTGGGGCTTTCTCTTATCACAGACACAGAGGGCTCCAACTCTTGTGTCCTGCCTCCCTTAGCAGATCCTCAAACCTCACAACTGCCCCTCTATGTCCCCCTCCCCCAGCACCCCCCCCAGCTCAAAGGGACCCAGTCAAAATGGTCCCAAGGCTCAGCTGCCAGGTGCTCCTCACCTCCTTCTGGATTTCACTCTTGAGGGCAGAGATCTTCATTTTCATGTCCTCTAGCTCATGGTCTGGGAAGGGGTGCACGTGGGGGCTGGCCTCAGACTCCTCGGGGGATGGGAACACTAAGTCGGCCAGGGGGATGTACCACTTACAGTCATACTGCTGGTGCTTCCTGCAAACAAGCCCAGAGGGAGACGTGAGCCACAGGGAAGCTGGCTCTTCAGTCCTGAACCACTGGGCCCAGAACCAAAAAATGACCCAAGCGGGATCTACTGAGAACTCTGCAGAGGTAAGAATGATCGCAGCCGGAGGAGCTAGATCAGGAAACACACACATCGACCAGTGCCAGTCAGGTCTGGGGTCCGCCAAACAGTGAGGGCTCCTCACTTTGACGAGTCTTCAGATCCAGTAGGGCTGGTGTTTTTAAAAATCCCAAGTCACTTGTTTATTAAGAAAAACAAAAGCCTTGTTGATTAGACTTATACTTTCCTATTCCCCATCCAATACGCTTCTCTCCCTTCTAGCCCATCTAGCCTTAGGCTCAAAGTCATTTTCCTTTAGGGTAGATGTAGGATACCAAGATGTTATTCTAGATGCCAACTCTGATTAACAGGAGGTCACACAGGGTACTAGATTAAAGACTATAAAGCTACATCCAAGCCTAGTGAGAAAGAGCAACATGGTTGATTCATAATGTCTGCAATGGGCAAAGGACTCAGGCAGAGGCACATATGCTGATTATTGCCATCTCTGCTTTAGAACTATCTCGAAGGTGATCTAGTTCCAGGGAGTCATGCCCTTTATTGAAGCTCATGAAGATCTTTCCTTCTCTGACTTACTCCAGAACTTAAGATTTGTACCTCTCATTCCAGTTCCTTATTGCTGCAGTGAGCACATGGCTTATCTACCTCTATACTGCACAGCAGTGTACTTGGCACATAGTAGGTGATAAGTAAATGCAGGTGGACGAATATGTGGATAAATACTGAAGAACCTTTCCTGCTCAAGGCCCGGTGCAGACCCACACTACTGAGATGGAGATAGAATGGAGTTTTCAGTTTAGATTAGGGTTCAAATCCCATCTCCTCCACTTCTAGCTGTGTGACCTTGGGCAACTTAGTTACCTTCTCTAGGATTTTCATCTGTGAGATGGGAATAATAATAAACACTTTGTGGCATTGTTGGGAAGATCAGAAATCATGTATTCAAAGCATTTGTCATAGCACCTGGCATGGCATAAGCCCTCGATAAATAGTGGCAGATTTAATGAATATTCACAGAATTGCAGTTAGCAAAAAATTTAGAGATGTCTAATAAAAGGAGAAGGCTTAAGTAAATTATGGCATATCCACTTGTAACATCATACAGGAAAGTATAATGATGATTATGAAAATCAGGCAGCAACGGGGAAAATGCTTATGACGTGAAATAGATGAAGCAGAGCCCCAAATTGGGCATTCACTCTGATTACAATTATATGAAAGAAAAAAAAACAAAACATAATGACATTTAAAAAACTGGGAAGGAAATATAGCTGCAGGAGACAGGGGCTTATGTTCGTGGGCCTGACAGCTCTTTTCTATATGTCCTTATATTATCTTTATAATTTAAAGCATGATTTATTTTTAGAAAAAGACTCTGTAGTGAAATAAAATTAATTAATTTTCTTTTTATAAAGAAAAAAAAAAAAACCACACAGATTACCCAAGGTTGCTGAGGGCTCTACAAGGACCAAGGGTCTGGTTCCCCCCACTGCGACCCTGGACCCCCTTCCGCACACTCACCCTGCAGAGGTCTTCTTCAGCTTGGCGCACAGCAGGACATCTGTAAAGAGGAAGACATGCCGCAGCTTCCGGGAGCTCTCCGACATTTCCACCAGGAAGCCGTCCTTCACCAGCTGCCGCGTCTGAAGGAGATGGCACCCCCCACCCCCAGCCTGCTCAGAGGTGGATACAGCTGAGGGCCCAGGCTGCACTGGGGACATGGCCCTGCTAGGGAGGGCGGAAAGGAAGGGCTGTATTACCTAGTGGTTAAGAGCACTGGCTTTGGAATCCTGAGCTTGAACCCCAGATTTTGCCACTTCTCAGCTGTGACCCCAAGCAAGCTCCCTGGCCTCCCATATCTCAGATTTATCGCTGTACCAGGAGGAGAATGTTATCTGCCTGATAAATCAAGATGATGCATAGGAAACAGCATGGTGCCTGGCACTTAGAATGTGATTGACAAACAGTGGTTTTCCCACAGCTCTCAACTGGGATGGACCCTAGTTCAGAATGACCTGGTTTCTCTAGCCTGAGCCAAGAACATCCTTCATCCTCAAAGAGCCTCCTAATTGAGTCTGAGAAGTTGATCTATTTTCAGCTCAACCTTGACCTGCAGACCACTCAGGCCTGTTTCCATTACTTCTCAGTGGATTCATGAATCTCCCCTCGTGGATGGGAGATGCTGGGTTTCCCTCAGTGGGGCTGTAGCAGTCCTAGAATCACCTCTTGGAGTTTCCTCCCTCTCACCCTCAGAGCCAGTGGGCTTCTCTGGAGCTGTCACTTCCTAGCCCAGCCTCCCCCATGTGCACGACACACCGTGTGACCTACATATGCTGCAAGATGTGGGTGAACATTTGAAAGGATACAATTAAGACGACCTGAAATTGATGGTGCTCTAAGCAATCTGGAGATTTCTGAGCTATCCCCAGAGTACAACAAACTCATGATATTCTGGGGCGTTGCAAACCAGGGCTGGGAACTGCACACAGAGATAGTTCCATGCCCCGTTAGTCATGCTCCAGACCCTGTCCCTCATTACTTCTCTTCCCAGGAGACACTGGAGGCTCATAAATGTAACAAAGGAGCATAAACCCAGTCAGCCTTCACTCCTAAATGCCACTTAATTACCTCTATTGGACAGGAAGCACGGTATCTAGGCCAGGATGCTGACCCATGAGGGTCACCGTCCCTTCAATTCTTCACATTGCTTCCCCTCATTGGGCTACCTTTCCATCAAGAAGGGTCCCCAGGAGAGCTGCTGTGCCAATCTAGGCACCCACAGGGAGCATCTCAGCAGCCTGGATGGACTCAGAAATCATGAGGCCAGTGTGTTCAGCTGTCGGCTCATCCCCAGCTCCAGCCTACCTGCTGTGCAGACCGAGCTGAAGCTGCTCAGTTTCTGTTCCCTAACCCTCCAGGGAGAGCAGCATACCAGGGGGGTTGTTTGCACCTGGAGGGCCCCTTCTCTGGTATGGAGCACAATGCTAGGGGCTTATAGCCAGATAGCTTCAATCCTGTACTGACCCTAATGGCTGAGGGACCTCATGCCAGACCTGGAGAGACTCTCCAGGCTTCAATTTCCGCTTCTGCCTCCCTGGGTTATCATGGGGATTAATGAGACACTGGACTTAATGCTATTTAGACCAATGTCTGAAATGCTACAGGTAATGGTGGCAAGCAAAGACTGCACACCTCACCTTGGCTGGCAACCAGAGACAAGGAGTAGAGAGGTACAGGACACTTGACAGTGACATGCATGTATGAAAGAGAACAGGGGCATTTGGTCAAATGCCTGCTCCTCAGCCTAGGTGTGAGGCCAGGCAGGGTCTTGAGCTCACCTCCCCCTTGGGAGTAGTGACTGCAGTCCGGCGGGGGTCAATGTCTTCATTGATGCTGGACAGGAAGTTCTGAGAGATGCGGAGGGCATCCTGTAACAGTGGGTAGTCTGGATGGTCCACAGGTGTGTGCTTCAGAAGATCCTGGGAAATGAAGGGGGCGGGGTGAGTTGAGAAGGACGATTCTGGGCTCTGTAAGATAGTAGGTAGTACCTAATCCTCACCAAAAGAATTCTGAGGTGGGCACTCAGGAACCCACACTCTAATCTGGTCATGCCTATTAAAAATCTGAACTAAAAATTAGGGTTGGGGCACTCAGGGTGAGGGTAGTGATCCCGATTAATCTTGCTGCATCATGACTGTAGCCTCATCTCACCAAGCAGCTGAGAGAGACACCCCTCTACCCACCCCATAGCTAGCTGCTCCCAGAATACCAAAGACCAGGAGGCAGAGAAGTGCCTGCCTCCTAGGGAGCATTTGGCCAAATATCAAGCTTAGTAGCCAAGCTATATTTAGGCCCTGGCCCCGTTGGCATGGTTACTGCAGGCCAGGCAGGCGCAGTTGAGGCCCAGGGACCCTCTGCTCAGCTCCCCAAATAGGCTGTTCTCAGTGATTCCAGCACCCTCCCACCAAACTCCTAACCCCTTCCTAGCCATTCAGGGGGCTTGACACTCACGTGTAGGACCAGGGTACTCCGAGTAACTCGGTCAATGGGCTTGTAGAGCAAAGCTGTTGGGGAAGGCAGAGAAAGGAGACAGGATGGTGACATATAAGGAACAACTTAAGACATGGGAGCTGGCTTCATCTCACAACCCACCTTGTTGCCCCATACAAACACTCATTTGCAGGGAGCCCAAGAGCATTCCGCAGTAACCTGTCCATCCACTCTCAGTCCCAGGGCATGCCATGCCACAGCAACAGGCGGACACACAGCCCCGGCTCCCTTACCGCCTCTGCCTCTGCATCTCACCGCCTATCAGACAGGACTTCTTTTTATCTGGGGGGTACAGGGGGACTGAACTCAGGGGTACTTAACCACTGAGCCACATCCCCAGCCCTATTTTGTATTTAGAGACAGAGTCTCACTGAGCTGCTTAGTGCCTCACTGTTGCTGAGGCTGGCTTTGAACTTTTGATCCTCCTGCCTCAGCCTCCCGAGCTGCTGGGATTACAGGCGTGTGCCACAGCACCCGGCCAGAGATGACTTCTTTGAGGGTCATCTCCCAGACCCTCCTGGCCTGGTCCGGCTCAGAGCAGATGCTCCTCTGCATGCTCCCCCACCTACACCTAGCCAAGCCCCTCAGGTCCAGCACACTCTGGGTCCCACCCAGGACTCTGGGCTGGGGGAAGGAAATGTTTTTCCAGGAAAGGCAGCTTCTCCATTCTCATGCTCCTCCAGTCAGAGGCCTGGCCCACCAGTGCGCGCAGCATGCTTTGCTCTGACCCACACATCTGGCCTCTTCTTTATGAAGAAAGACTTTTCTACATGCCCTTGAACTCCCAGGCAGAATGGGGAAGGCTGGGGGGCCAGGAGGCAGGCCAGACTTTAGCACCAAGTCTCTGCCAGTGGCAGCCTGAGGAGCAAAGACTTCCTGAAGGGATTTGATGGGGCCTTGCCTGTGGCAGTCCCCAAGAGGTTGGGCAAATGCAAACTCAGCCAGGTCCCCATGAGCCACACCCATCTGTGACCCAAACACATGAAGATTGCTGGGATTCAGTGGGGACAGGTGGAGGAAGCAGCTGGTGGCCCAGTACTTCCAAACATCCTTCTCACGAGCAGCTGTGCCCCGCTTCTCCCAACATGGTGGTTTCAGCATTGGGCCTGCACCCGAATTCCCCAGTCCATGGGCGAGACCTTTGGTCTCCTGCCATAGGAGCAGTAAGAGGTAGGACGCTGGTTTGGGAAGGACCTCAACTGGGTTTCCCACAGGACTAGGTTGTGCCAGATCCCACTCATGCCCTAGCCAGCCCCCAAACCAATGTGTCCCCTCCAAAAGCCCTAGATATAAATACCCTGTGAATTGCTAAGTAGACACTTCAGGGAACAATCTGCTGGCGACAAAGAAGATGCGGTCTCAGCGGTGTGCCAAGAGTCTTATCTGCAGTCTTTGCCTGGCTGCCCATTAGAATCACTGGGGGAGCTCTTAAAAGAAACAGATGCCCACCCCCCCACCCCATCAACTAAACCCAAGTCTCTGCGGGTGAAACAGGCGAGCAGCACTTTTCAAAAAGCTCCTTTGCTGATTCTGATGCCCAGTCATGGTTGAAAGCCACTGCTTTATGCAAACACACTTTCTATGGGTTATTTGTACCTCTTTCTTATCTAGTCATTTCTAGAGGCCCTCTCCATGGGCGATGGGAGCTAGAATGCCAAGGCTTGTTATATCCTGGGACAGTGAGGTAAAGCCCAGTTACCAGCTCAGGGGGGCTCACTTCTGAAGCTGTTTTAAGGCACCCCCGCCTACTTGTGGTTCAGCCCATCTTCGGAGTTGCGGGGGCGGGGGGGGGGATCACCAGAAGAGAACCCAGAGACACACAAGGAAGTGCAAGGTCAGCAGACACCTGCCAGGGTGGGCCCTTGAGTTCCAGCCCCCAGGAAAGCTGATACTGCACTGTCAGCTACTCCAGGCCTCTCTCGAGTCCCAGGAGGAAGAGGCTTCTGTACAAATGGTGGGTTGGGTTTCAGAGGGATTATTAATACGCTTGTAGTCACCTCAAGGGTCCACCTGACAGGGGCTGTGGAATGTGACCTGCAGCCTCAGCCTTGGCCGAGTGGGATGAGGACAGCTAGGAGGAAAAATGAGGAGAAGGAGGGACAGGAAGAGGCTCTGGAGTCACAGTTAGATGTAGAGAGGAAGGGCAACCCAGTATTTGTGTTCCCCGTGGCCCCTGCACGCCTGCATCCCCTGGGGAAGCAGCTCACCCTTTGGCCCAGGAACTCCTGCCCCTTCCCTGTTTCCCGGCTCTGGCAGGTGAGCCTGGTTTCCCCCAGTGCTGTAAACCACTGTCCCTACTCCTCATCATGCCATCTGGCCCAGCATACCCACCATCCAACAACTTGCAATTCTTGTCTCTCCTCCTATTCCAGGAAGCCTCTCCCTGGACTCTCCCAGGACTTTTGCAAACAACACCTTCACTTGCCCCAAAATCAGCCCCCTGGCATGAACATGCTGGTCTCTCTTTTGTTTGCTTGGGAATTTGCTCTGCCCAATGGCACTGAGTTAACTGCTTGGTGTGCTTTACTTTCTGTGATTCGAATGGGGAGCAATTTTTTCACCAGCCCCAATTTACAGATGAGAAAACTGAGGCACAGAGAGATTATGTAACTTGCTCACAATCACAAAGCCTTAAGTAGTAGCTGGGTTTTGGATCTCAGTTTACCCATAAATAATAATAAACCGCTTCTAATAGTGAGCTGTCTTTTTCCTCAGGAGAGTGCAACGTCTGTAAAAGCTAATTGAATGACAGGAGGGTTCTCAGAGAGATTTCCCAGGAGTAGGTAAGATGACCCCTAGTTACTAGGGTGAGCCCCCTCCTTCAGAGCTGGCTTCTTCATTCTTCATTTCCCACTTTGAAGCTGACTTCAAAGATGGCATCGCAGGAACCAAAGAAACCCTGATAACCGGGTCCTGGGCCTGTTTCACAGAGACGAAGCTTTCTTTGTGGAGGGAAGAGGAAGGAAAGGACTGACCCCCTTTCTCTTTTAGGGAAGCCAGAGCTAAGACCTGACCAACTCCTAGGCCAGATCAAAAAAGAGAATTTCCCCTCGCTCTCTGAACAATCCAATTTCAAGTCCTGCTCTCCTCTGACCCTAGCCTGTCAGAATCCGCTGAAGGGCAGGGGACTGGCCGGACAGCTTCTGTCCTGCAAGTAGAGTGCCCAAAGCCGTCCACTGGAGCTGCTGAAAGGCTGCCTGCCTCTGAGGCTGCTTCTGTCATAAGCAGACTTCAACACAGGTCAGATCAGGAAGGTGAGGTTGAGGGGGTCCTGCACAGCGTCCCCTGGGAAAGAGCCCAGGAAACCTAATCCATCATCTCTCCTCCAGCAAACAGCACCGCCCCCCTTTAGTTCAGCCTTTAACAAGGAGCACTGGGTTACCACGGAGATAGGAAAGCAAAGTGATTGAGAAGGGTGCAGACAAAAATGCCTGGTGGCAGGGAAGAAGGTCCTACAACCAGCCACCTGCTGCTCCGACACACATGGGCCCAGAGCAGCTGGCCCGGAGGCCACACTTGCCCCTCACACCCTGCCCAACGCAGCTCAGGTCATCCCTAAGGCACTCCTTGCCTTGGAGAGCAGGACCCACCTGCTTCTGGACGCCTCCCTGCCTAGGCCCGCTTTGGCCTCCTCTGAGCAACAGCTGGGCTGATAGCATATGTCTGTCCTGGGACCTTACCCCCACCACACATGCTTGGGGTCCCTTTCATTAAGGAGTGGGTGTGTGACCTTCACAAAGAAGCAGCTGCCACACCCCCTTCTCCCAGAGCTGACCTTCTGTGCTGAGTGTGGGAACCTCAGCTCCAGGGCCTCCAGAGGCTAGCAACAAACCTCCTGGGAGGAACCCAGTCCCTCCCGGCTCCCCCAGCACATCCTGAGAGAAGGCGGCATGTGCACAGAGCACACAATACCCAGGCTGCTCAACCTCCTCTCCTATCTCCGGAAACAAAGAAACTCCCAACTTGTCCCTCCAGCCCAGGCTGGCACGCTCTTGGTTCAAGGCACTGCTGTCCACACCCTCTGCCCCTGTCCACCGGGCCCCTGCCCACCCTCTCCCTGGCCTCAGGGTTCTCTTGCCTGCAGGTACAGCCTGCCACTTCATTTCCTTAGGAAGTTGCTCAAAGCCTCTCATGCACGCATTTAGCTACCAGTTCCCCACAGATCCTTGTGGGGGAACCTGGACCCTTCCCGACTGGCCCTTCCATTTCAAAGCCTCCCTGCCCTGAGCAGTCCCCAGACTTCAACTCCACAAGCCACAGGGCTGTGCACACAGGTCCAACCACTTGCCCAGCCTCCCTTCTCTGCTGGCCCCCCCAATCCTGATGGTCACATTTAAGCCCACTCCAGCCAACCCTCCGCCCCCGCAGTGGGTTAATTCACACCGCCTCCCATGGAGAGGCGCCTGGGTTACCATAAGTGCAGTTACAGCAGAAGCGAATGATGAAAAGAATTTCCATGGCAGCCTCTGTTCCTGCAGCAGGGGCGTGTAGCCATCGCTCCCGGCTCCCGGCTCCCCTCAGCAGCCCGGCCACTCGGCCACCTTGCCGGCTGCTGCTGCACAGCCTCCAGAATCAAGCAGCCGCTTCCTTCCAAGTGCTCCTCCAGCAAGAGGGAGGGCGGGAGGCGCGTGGAGAGGCAGGAGGAGGGAGGGGAGGGAGGAGGGACCCAGCGCCTGCTGGCATCCTAAGGAGGAGCACGTTTGTAGCTGGCCTGCTGCCTGGGGAGGAGAGGCCGGATTCCTCATGTGCGTGTGTGAGGACAAGCCCGGGTACGCGGGCATGTATACACACACACACACTCTCACACACAAGCAGGGAGGGCCTGGTGTTCACACACAGCCCATAGTTCGCAAAACCAGACAAAGGAAGGTGACCGTAAAGCAGCCCTATTCTCCAAAGTACCTTCCATGGTGACTGATGTGTGGCTGTCCTTGGAGTCCTTGGGCCCTTTCACTTTGAGTTCCTGCCAGAAAGAGGAGAAGAATCACTACCTGATCTGTCCAGCTCTCCCCCTCCCCCAGTGTGACCATAGCAGGAAGAGGGGCTTTGAAACACAGGGAGACAAAGGAGACCCAAGGACATGGGGTACCTCTGCCTCGCCACCTAGATTCCCTGGAGCCTCCTGAGTCCAGCTGCTGGGGTGTGGGCAAGAAAGGGCCGTCTAGGTACCGGAATCAGGACTATTTGGTAGGATGTGCTAAGGTAACGGGAATTCCTCAGCATTCCCATGAAGCACCCCCCCCAGCAATTCTTAGGGCCTCCCAGAGACTGAGAAAATGGCAAGAGCAGGATCCCACCCCCTAGTAACCCCTGAAGAAGACACTACTCAGAGATGTGTACATATCAGGCCCAGGGCAGCCAGGGTTTGAATGGACAAGCACCAGGCCAATCATTGGGGCATTCAGTCAATTCCTAGGGTATGAATGCCCTTGAGATGAGAAGGGGTCTGCACACCTGCACAGGGGGAGCAGGGAGGATGAGTGCCTGGGGCAGAGATGCTAAAGGTCACAGGCTACACCCTCCCCATACAGCAGGGTCTCACTACCACCCCAGCCCCCCGACACTCTCCATCACCCACGTCTGTTCTGGGACACGAGAGGAGACTGCAGGGAGGAACAGCCACAATGGCTTCCTGGCACCCATGCCAAGTAACCCAGGAATGAGTGCTGGAGACAAGATTCCAGGGACAGTTTATGGGATCCAAACCTTTCCTATCTGCTTTAGAGGGAGAGGGACCCCAGCCCTTGCCAACAGGACAGTGCAGCCTGCCATTGGAGCTGAAATGCAATCCCCATTTGGCAGGCTCAGGGCACAGAGCCTGGGCAAGGAGTGTCCCGAGAAGGCAGGGGCGAGGTGAGGCCAAGGTCAGGTACCCTGGTGATACTGCCTGCTCTGCCTGGAGGAAGGAAATGCCCAGACAGCAGGAGCTTATTTCCTATGCTAACTGTTTCTAGACAGAGAAAACCCCTAGGGACTGAGCTTGGGGGTGCATGGTGTGTGTGTGTGTGTGTGTGTGTGTGTGTGTGTGTGTGTGTGTCCAACTCAGCTTCTCCAGGCTGCATCTCTCTCCCTGATGCCTGGATTCCCAGCTTGAAGGAATTTTGTATCACACCCCCCTCCAGTGCAGCCTGGAGGTATGAAATCACTCCTGCTGCAGAGGAGAAAGGCCTAATTGCAGTAATTAAGTGGCAGCGCCAGCAGGAAGCAACATCGTCATCCAGTGAGTCAGGATGAACAGCCACCTGGCAAAGGGCCATGGGCCTGGCTTTGCCCTCTGGGACAAGCCAGCGTTAAAGGGGTTTAAGCATGGGTGCAGGGAGTTCTGCCCATGCACAGAGAACAGGCAATAAGGAGGAAACAACACTCTCTAGACACTCTCTGGACCATGTCGGCTCTGGGCATCCAAGTAGCTGTGTCAGGGACACTCTGAACACAGATCGGGCAGCTCAGTTGGTTCCTGGGGAGGGCTGGAAGCTTAAGGGGAAGCACTAGTTCTCTAGCCTCATGACCTCACTTAGAGGGACTTCCCCACCCATCACTCCATCTTCCTGAGAAGAGGGTAACTCAATTGACCCATGGGTTTGAGAGATGGAATGGAACCCAGGCCTCCCCTCGCAGTACTCTGAGTTAGAAGGGAGAAACCTGTGGCTTGCCATTCCCGATAGATTCAATAGAGAGATACATTTACTTTCAGAGGTGAAGCATTAGCAAGTCCCATGTGGCTATGGATCCAAAGCCACGTCTTCCAATCCGGCTTTTTCTAATAACCGAGCTGACATTTTCATCTCTATCTGTCCAACTCTTGTGCGACCTCTAGGTTGATTCCAAACTTGGGCATAACCCATAGCCTGAGTAGTTTCAGGAAAACGATCCCATGTCTCACCAACTTTTCTGTCATCAGAAGTGAGACAGGGAAAGCAAAGGGACTAGGGGGACTTTCTGGCAGGACTTCCAGAACTATAAAAGTATATTCTCTCCCAGAAAGAGGTTCCCTGGCCCTGAATTTGGACTGGGTGCTTTCTACAAGGCCAGTGGTTAAGGGGTGTCTCTGGGGTCTTTTTTGAATAAAGAATAAACTGGGCCGCAGATCCTGAGGATCCTATTCTGATCCCCTCCCTGCCACTTTCTGGATAGAAGTGCCAGTGGCCGGCAATGCCATGCTTCTAGGTCTCGAATCTTCCTGATAGTAAAAAGTTACCCAGGAGCTCGTTAGAGTGTAAACTGTGGGGCTGCACCCCAAGACTTCTTAAATCAGAAGCTGCAGGAAAGGTGCCTGGAGATCTGCATTTTGAATAATGCTCCAGCAAGTTTGAGACGAGGTGCACAAGTCCAAACAGCTCATTCTATAGGAGAGGAAACAAAGGCCAAGAGAAGGGAAGTGACTTGCCCAAGGTCACCATTATATAGCAGAATACTGCCTTTCTTTTTCTTTTTTTTTTTTTTTTTTGCCTTCTCTATTCCTCTCTCTAACCTGAAATGGAATTTAAAAAAAAAAAAAAATCAAACCAATCGATATTCTTATATTAAGAGGAAAAATGTCAGGTGTAAGAAAGCAAATATCAGGCTAAGCATTACCCATGAGGGGAACGGCTTCCCTGACTGGAGAACAGGGAGGAGACAGACAAAGGCTGGAAGGTTCCGAGCTGCCCGGGGTTGTCGTGTGGGGAACTTCCTACCTCTGAGATCTTCTGGAACTGGTTGTTGGACTGGCTGCACTTCTCAGCTGTCTCCAGAGCGACTTTATAGTTATCCACAAATGCTTTGTACACACCAAGCTGGCTGGCCTGCAGGGAGGAGACAGAGAGTGGAGAGAGAGGAGGGTGGGAGGGGGCTGGGGGAGGATTAATGAATGGATGAAAGCTTGACCAGAGCTCCTGGCGCTCCCTTAGCACTCGGAACCTCTGACTCGGCTCCAAAGGGCTCGCTGGGAATGCGAGGAAAGGCAGGATGAACATATTACAGTATCCCTTTGAACTTGACAGTTTCCATGGAAACGGACTCAGCCAATAAGGTTAATAAGAGGGTACTTGGCGGGGAGGAGAGCAGGGCAGGGCCTTTGTTGGCAGGCCAGAAATTCGACTCATCATAACATTTGGCTTTCTTTAGCACCATCTCAGGGTTGAAGCCCCTCAAGGTCTCAGTCCTCTTTCATATCCTGTCATTAGCAGGAGCACAGGGAGACAAGGGAAGGGGGTGGACAATGTGGCCTGCTCAGTTCCCCACTCCCCATGCTGAGTGTGGGGCACAGCATTTAACGGGGCCCCAAGTCCCCGTCCCCTGCCTCACTACATATCTGCGGGTCACTTGGGACCTAACCCCAAACTTCCCCTGACTTGCGACCACAAAGAGCCTTGCCTCCTGGGGGGCGGGGGGAGCAGAGCAAATCCCACCACCCGCTTTCTGTAAAAGGAGAAACGAAGGCTCCCTAGTTTGATTCCTTAAATATTTATGGGACGTCTCCTCTGGGCTGTGCATACATATTTTCTCCAAAGGACGGAAATTCAAACTAAAGCCACAATGAGATACTATTGCATACTGGTCAGAGGGTTGAAATTTAAAAATTAAATGCTATCAAGGGTTGGCAAGAATGAACTCTTATAAACTGGCCTGTAGGTATAAGTTAGTACAATTATTTGGAGAGGAACTTGTCAATAATTAATAAAGCTGACAACAGGCACGAGCTGAACCTACTGCACAGCAAATTCACCTCTAATAGAAACCACAGTACTGATTGGGGATGTGGCTCAGTGGTAGAGTGCTCACCTGGCATGTGTGAGGCACTGGGTTCGATCTTCAGCACCACATAAAAATAAAATAAAGATATTGTGTCCACCTAAAAAAACTAAT